TTATCCATACATGCTCGCAGCAAGTGGTGCGATTCCGCCACCAATCGTGGGCACCACCTCACACACACAAGTCACTAGTTCTATGCCGAACACTCAGATGCTTGCCTTTCTACAGCAGCAGCAGCAATTGTTTCAACAGCAGCAACAACATTCGCAGCCGCAAGAACAACGGTCGCCATCTGTTGGTAGTGATGCGCAGGCGCATACATCTCCTCGAAATGCCATTTCCGAATCGCTTTCACCATCTTCTATTGGTCACGTCGAAGTCCAGCAGCAATGAAGTATTACATATCAAAAACCATAATAATTATTATTATTTTTTATTTTACTATTATTATTCTCATAAATTGAAGTTTTAGTTTTGCTTTGTTGTCTGATTTTGGATACAAAAGCTTGCTAAATGGCACTTTTTTTTGTTCCAAGATCTTATTATGACTTTATATATATTTTTTTGGTAATGGTTCACGACAAGAACGAAAAAAAAGCTTTGATCTAGTACATTATGTAGTTATTTTTTTTTTTATACCAAAAGTATATAATTTTTTCGTTCCTCAATAATGTAATTGATTTTTTTTAGTTTATTATTTTTGGATGGGCATTGAGAAGAGTTGTAATACGGAGTAGTTTTTACATTTGGACGGTGTCGTAAAGTTGCGATTGTATAATTGATGCTTTTTTCATAAACATTATTTCTAAATACTTTTTTACGACACGTTATTTGATTACTTTATAAATAAATGGATAGTTTAATTTCTTGTAAAATATTAAGATTCTACTAGTACATATATACTGTAGTCAATCTTACACCCTAATAAATTTGTAGTATACATATTTAAAAAAATTTAATTTTTTCAAAATGATAAAACTTTTTTTATGTTAATCCTCCGGATCCTCAATTACCACGCACTCAACATCATCCTGCCATTTTTCTTCAATAGCTGTTAACAATACCCCAGCATTTACAATAACCTCTTCAACAAGGGACATTACAATTAGACTCTGAAAATCATCAAATTCTCTAATCATGTTACTAACAACAATTGTTGAATAATCATCAATATTACTATTCCACCACTTAATTGATTCTGGTTCTAAATTGATCTTAAATGTTAAACTACCCTTAGAAACATAAGTAGTTTCATGTTTTAAGTCAAAAGGAGAGAAAACATGTAACGAAACATTTCTGATAGTTTGAGAAGGATCAAAAATGGATAACCAGGTAGAACCAATACTTATATGAGAATTATGAAGAATAGTTTCCCATCTTTCGGTGCCTTGTAATTTTCTACCTATAATCTTTGCATGTTTAATCGGTGAGGAATTATCGAATGTCTTGTCATGTTTAATCGGTGAGGAATTATCGAATGCCTTGTCATTAATCTTGAATCTAGTGTTAAGTGATAATATATCAACATCGCAAAGCATTAAATCAAAAATATGAGTTGGACCAGAACTGTAGGTATCTAAAGGCTCGATTGTAACCTTTTATAATTTACCCCGAAATTTTAGTAAATTATTGTTAACAAAAAAAAAAAAAACGCAAATTCGGTCAATTATTGAACGCACCAGTAAGTAGTTATTCCCTGTTTTGAATTCACGTTGAATTCTCTCAACTATTATTTTTCGAATCTCGTATCGAAGTGCTTTGGATAAACTTAAATATCTACAAAGATCTCGAGCAGGAATAAAAGTAAATACCGCAAGAATTAGTTCTAACGGTAATTGTTCCGGGCAAGCCATTAACGTTTTTTTTTTTTTTATGTAATGAGAAGGAAAAGTTCCTCGAGAATATAAGTAAATTTAGTACAATACAATGTATATATTTGAATATCAAACAATACGTTACTAATTGCGCATATTGTATTCATTGTATTGCTGTATGCTTGTGCGTTTCACAACCTTAAATTTTGACTGATGCAATGTTGATCATAGTCATTAATTATTCGCATAACGACAAGTATCTTAAAATTGAAAGTTCAGACGAAAGCTAAAATTCCAGAAAGTTGGGCGGATAGACAACATTCTTGAAAATATAGGCAAACAATTGTTACATAATAGTAAAGATTGCATGATTGCTGAAGATTGTATCATTTATTTATATCAATTTATAATCTTCCAAGTTAAATTTTTCCCAGCAAAAAATGGGACAATAGAACCCTTGCGTTCTTCAACAGATTCATCGAAAGAGTATGAATGAGGAACTAGCAAGGTTTCCTTAACTAATGTAATTTCACGATATTTTCCTTCTTCACTAACACCATAAAATTTCTTGCCATTTTCACATGCAAATTTTCTTAAACAATTAATTGCACCGAACGAATCCAATACTGTGGCAAGGTATGGAATAGCTAGAGGTGTTGTAAATACACCAGCACAAGAATGTGCACATTCCTTGAGATAAGCAGGATGTGGCGCCGAATCAGTACCCAAGAAAAATCTTGGATGTTCTAAAATGATGGACGGTAAAATTAATAATAATAGCATAATTCCATGTATCAATGTTTTCAATAAGTACCTTCAAGAACAACATCACGCAAGGCCTGACGATCATGAGGAAATTTAGCAACTGGTTTACAAAAATTATGGCATTGGCCAGCCCAATCATCTACAATCAATTGAAGATGGTGTATAGTGATAGTACAGCCAATAGTGTCTCCAAGATCCTTTACCTAATTGATGTAAAGAGCTATTACCGGTTACGTTAAATAAATCTAGACGAATTTTTTTAATAAATTAATAAATTACCGTATCAACAGCCGCTTTTGTAGTAGCATGTTCCAGGACTATTTTCAACTTTGGAAAGTCATTATGTAATTGCTTTAAATGCACTAAAAACTTTTCCTCAGCATTCATAACACAAATATCCTAAATCAAAGTATTATTATTGTATAATTCATGAAGTACGAATGAGATACTAAAGGTACAAACTTGGTCAGCGTCACTCGGAAGTTCACCGTGAAGATTCAGGATCAACCCAACCTCTTCCATTGCTTTAAAAACCGGATAATAAATAGCATAAGATTCGATACCTGATTCTGAATTTGTTGTAACCCCTCTTGGATAAGATTTAACACCTATAAATATTGTTAACCTATTGTATTCAAATAAAATCTGGGGACATAATCACTAATTTTATATATTACCAACAATTCCGTGCTTTTTTGCCTTTCTTATCTCTTCAGGTGTTAATTCAGGACATAAATACAAACTCATAAGGAAAGTGACATTTGGAGCAAGTCTTTCAAGCTGAGCTTTATATTCAAGTGCTTGTTCTGTGGATGTAATTGGTGGTTTAAGATTCGGCTAGCAAGTTTAACAGTAAATTGTTACCATTTGCTGAAGCATAAGAATTCTAGATTTGTGATTATAAACTTCTACCATAACATAGCACAACGAGACACCACCTTCAGCGATTCTAGGAGCTACCATTTCCATCAAGACACCTTGGCGTGCGTGAAGATGAAAATCACAAGCCGCCGGTAAAGTAATTGTCGTTTGCATTTTTCAAATTCGAATTAACCTTCGATTATCAATTAAATACTATGATCGTCCAATCAGATTTTTACAATGAGTTTTCAAATGTCAATTTTTCTGCCATATTTTGCGAAAACGCGTCCTTTTAATTTCCATGGAAGCTGTTCGAGCATCATTATTTTTATTATTTAAATATTTACAATGTAAAAATTATATCACTTGACCAAAATGATTTTAGTTGACGCGACTAATTCATATTTCGTGCGATCCGAAACGCTTTCCGGAAGAAATTATTTTACATTGGCGAAATATTTACTATATATTTGTGGACTATTTCGCCTTGGCAAAATATTTAGGACTTTGGAAGTGTCTAATCCAAAACACTAATCTTATACACGTGCGAACTTCGAAGGCTTAAAATCTTGTTAAAATGAAGAGTATCTTTATATAAATTGATAACTAAACCTTGGACCTTTATAAAACATATTGATTTTGATGTGATGACATAAAACGCGTCATATCTATAAGAATCATAAATATAATGTTTATATTATGTTTCGTAAATAAAACGTTATGAATTACTCTTTCAATTGAAAACATATATATTCAATTCAACATTTACCGTACTTGACGCGTCAATTAAAGCACTCTTCATAAATTTTATCTTCCCTCTTTATGTTTGGGCATACCTGGAGGCCATAAGTTCGTCTTCGGCATTTCTGATTTATTACCGTTAACATGATTCAAATGATTGAGCATTGAATTTCTTGAGTTCTGCTTCGCTTTCCCTTCGCACTTTTCAAGCAGCGTCAAAAAATAATCGACTTGCCACATGAATGGAATATACCCATGCGACACACGTTTATCATTTCGAACCGTTGGATCAAGCAAGTCCTCTGATCTTAGCAAGTCCATAATTTCCTTCTTAGTCAACGGCATTAATGGTTCGTCAAACGGATTTGATATTAAACGATCTTTCGGAGGCGATATTGTAGATTTCTTTGCTCCAGAAAGGACAACTTGTTCGATGTGCCTAAATAAATGTTTAATTATATATGTTTTATTTATATTTATAATGCAACTTATTATTGCTTGATAATCATAAAGATAACTTTAAAAAACATATC